CTCGTACATTTGATGGTTCTTTGAGGGTGCCTTAATGATTTAAGGAACCTTTTGATCTCTTGTGAAAATATTACTCTGCGCTTTAGTATACTTCATTGCTCAAGCTGCTGTTTCATTGTTTGCTTCTTTTCGTGCCGATATCAAAACCTTTTGGCCAGACTGGACTTGATGATTTTCTTAAAAGCTAGGTGATAAACTTAAGAGCATCCTTCGCACTTGTGGTGTAAGATGAGACCTAGCTTATTACGGTACCACAAATGATGCTAACCTGACAGGCGCTAAATCCCTTCTATGGATCAAGACATTTTGTTCCACTGAGCAGTTTCCTCTCCAGCACCAAGTATTGGCTCCTGTTGTGTTTTTGAAGTGCTGCTTTGCTGATTGCAGTAGCATCCTTTTTGTAGGAGCAGATTGAAGAATTTACCCATTTTATTTTTCCAGACATACTCAGAAGAAATTGAAAGATTAGCAAATGCACGTACAATATTGAAACAATAATGTGTTTAGGTAACTCTTAATATAATCTTAGTTCGGCTTCAGGAAGAATTCTTGCTTGTTATTGTGTGATGTGGTTACATGAAGGGGAGCTCCTCTTGGAACATGTCTGGAACATTCACCCGAGGGTGCAAAAAGTATTAAAGGATTCATTGCCCTCAGGCACGTGTAATGTGGAAGACAGCCACCTGGCAGTTTACAAATTAAATTCCTGGATTATCTTCTATCATAGGAAAGGAAGCATTTGGTGTTTGAATAGCATATTGCAACACATTAGCCCCAAGTTTTGCTGTGGAGATAATTGTGTGGGGCACCAGAATTCTGTAATGCTTCTCAGATGTTTTTTAATTGTTCTGTTTGAAGCTCAAGTAACTGACACAGTACAGTGAACAACTGAAGAAAATACAAACATCTAGTAGCTTCTGTTTGTTCAAATATCTTGTTCACTTCATTAACCCTTTTTCTGAACTGTGTTTTCACTGTTTTACTTGCCATGGAGCTGGTTCTTGCCTCTGCTTCTTGGACAGAGATGATACTCTCTGGCCTGTCAGTTGCTTCTGATGGCAGTTTTCATCAGAGGCATTTGGTGAATTCAGGCCAAGTGTGGTTTCTGTAGCTTTTGGTGTCCTAGGGCAGTAATAAGTGACTGCATACCTGCAACACAGCGTTACAGCAGTCACTCTAAAAATGGTGCTCAGCTTATCATGACAAACTGTTTAAGCCCGATAGCTCCAAGTTCCTGCTAAGTGAATTTTTACATCCTGTTAGTATCACAGTTGGGCTAGATGCTGTATTAAAATTTAGCACGCGTTGGTAGCTGCTTTGAAGAGCTCGGAGTTGAGCAGGTGAGACAAAGCAAGTAAGCGATGTGAATTCTGTCCCATGTTCTGTGGCTGTGTGTGAGGTTTCTTGGTGGTTTTTTTTATTTTCTTCTCTCCTGTCCGTCTGCTCTTTCCTTTTTTATCCTTTCATTTCTGGAGCTATGGCCATCACTGTTCACAGACAGTCCTGCAGAGGTTTCAGCGCAACTAAGTTTAGAACATTTTAGGGTCTTCAGTGTGGGTGGCTGGATTTGCAGATGGGGTAGACTTGCTCTGAAGTTGACTACGCCAGGTACCTCAGCTGAGGTGCGATCTATAGATTTCACTTAGATCCTCTGTCTGTAGATTTTATTCCCGGCTTGTGTTGGAAATTGGAAACACAGGTCTAGTTGAGAGACATAAAATCTGTATGTCTGTGCTGCACTGAGCAGGTTTCCTTTGGAGTAAGACTAGTCCAGAATTGTTTTATTGACAGAGGATAATATTAAAAATGTGAACATGTGCAAGTTCAGTGACAATGTATATTAAAACCTCCCAGTGCAGTGAAGTGATCCTGCTAAGGTGAGTACCAGAACAGTCACGGAGAAGTGATGTAGTGAGAAAGCAAAGCTAGTCAAAGAAGGATGAAATTATAAATGCAGGCACAAGGTGTTTTCCCCTGAGACTGGATCCTGTGAAGAGAAGGAGGGAGCTGGTGTTCAACTGGAGCTTTTATGAATTTCATTTGCAGTCAAAAGCTCTACAGAAACCCAGGGGTATCAGCTTCCTGAGAAGCTTATGCAAAAAAGCCCACGACTGCGCAGTTTGCTTGGGACCTTGCAAAAGCCTAAACTTGAATTTCACTTAAAATGAATGGCACCAAAGGAACATTTCAGATTGTGTTCCGGACTTTGTTGCAGGCCATGAGTTGGAAAACAGAGACTGACACACTTCCTGTTGTATGTTAATGTAAATCAAAAAGCAAAAACTCTGGCACTGTAGCTGTTTGTTTTAAAGTCATTGGAAAACTGTGACCAATCATACAGCAACAGGCAGGTAGTATCACAAATGCTGCCGTTTTGAATCTTGCATATGTATGAAAAAAACTGTAGAGGTTTTATAAGCAACGATATCTGTGAAGAGACATGAGCCCAGGACTTTATCTCCAGCGTTTATAAGGATTAAGTACTATCACAAATTAACTGCATTAGTGAAATGGAAGCAGTTGCATATGGTTTGGAGAGTGTTTCAACAACATTTCCTATATGATAATTTTTTTATATATATATATATATAAAATTTTTTTCCCCTCTGTATTCCCGGTATTACCTGGGATTGTTTGCTTTTATGATTGTCTTGGTTTCTGTGGCAGAAATCCATATATTAATATTGAGGAAACCACAAAAATTCCTATCATTGCATCTTTGAAGATGATATCACCTTCTTTTCTCTTTTGAAAAATTGACCAATATGCAGTTGGAAATCATTAGTTTTAAAGGCTTTCAGCCACAATCAAGAAGTACTATAAAACCAGTGTAAGCTGCAAACCAGTAAGTGGGTGTGAGGCACAGTAAATGGATCACGCTCAAACTTTGGCAGGGTTTTAGAGAATAGGGCGTAGCATGGAACGCACCTGCGAGGAGGACGTAAGACCAAATGGGTCATTGGTCTGCAGCTCTTGCCTTCTGATGCGTACGCTTGTGGAAAGAAAAGAATATAGATGATATTGTAATGCAGTATAAGTTGATGGTATGGTCACCTGGAATCCTTGGAAGAAGTTGCCAGTTACAATTACATATAGGACCATCTGCATGAGAAGAGTGTATGATGTGCAAGCAAAGCTATCTGAAGACAGTTCTACCCCTTCACTTAAAGATTGCCTGATTTAAGGAAGTTTTCATCTAGAAGCTGCCTTTTTTTTTATAAGAAAGCTTTTGAAAATGTTTGTGAGAATCACAGAAATACTGTAAGCCCTTATTAAGTACAAATTAATTAGATGAAGCCATAAATAAAAGTAGTGATGTGCAGTCTTGAGACCTGGGGTCTTGATTTCGGCAAAAATGACTGAGGGAAAGGTTGTGGAAGATGCTGTTTGCAAGGCAGAGGGCAAGATTTAGTGAGATGCGTCTGGGGGAAGACGAGGATTTGGAGCTTTTTTTGGGGATAGAACTGATCATAAAATGCATTGTGACTCTCCTAGTTACTGAATCGGGAATTCCTTGCTGCGCTTGGAGTGTTTGACACTTACTTGTTGACAGGGTGAATAGGTACCGATGTGCACACACCACTGGAGTACCAGGCCCTAAGCTTCTGAAGGCAGGAATTTGCCAGCAGACGTCCTGTCTCAGTCTCGCCTCCTGGCCCTCGGTCATCTGTGTTAGTAAAAAGGAGATACGATATAGCCATGAAATATTCTGTATGCGCATGATTTCACTTTGTCAACCATGAGAGACCAGCGTGACGCAAATTTATGGATGAAATTCTGAGTCTGTGAGCTCATACAAACTTGTGATTACTGTGTGGTTGCGTGGGTTTTTTTGCTGAGCTGGCCACAGGTATCAGAAGTATCTTCCATTTCTTCTTGTGCAAATCGTAGGGCCAGCACAGGTTTTGACCATCGAAGAAGGTGAAGGATTTTCCTTTGCTGAGGTAATTTTTGCCTCCTGTTATTGACTGGTCTGTGAAAGGTCAGCATCTGTCTGTTTGATGTTACCTGTCATCCTCTGTTGAAATCGTATGCGTTGCCTGGTAATGTCAGATATAAGACCGTCTTTGTCATAAAGTTCAGTCTTCCCTTTTGCTTCTTAGCTCTAGGGAACTGTTGAATAAATTCTTGTCTTAGCTTATCCCTACAGTGTCCCTTTCTCATTTTTCAGTTATGTTGCATTGTGCATATAGCTAGCTGATTGTGGGAAGTCAAGAGACAAATTACTGATCGTGCTACCTGAAAACATCAGAAAATCCAACCTTTTATCCAAACATTTCACAGTCACAATAAGAGACAAAATGATGGTTGCACATTCCTTAAGCATTTATGTTGTATTTATTAGGAGACAAAGACTAAATATTTGAATTTCGAGAGGTTTGCACTTGCACTTTATAGCCAGGTGGCTTGGATTTGAATTCTTGTGGTGGCAAATCTCCAAACCGGATAGATACAGTATACCGTGTGTAACTATAGCCACTCAGAGTTCCAGTGTAATCCCCCAAATGGCTTCACTTAATCAGAGATTTCACTCGTTCCTTCATAGCAGCTTAAAGGCAATGTAAAAATATCCAATTTTTATTCACATTCTAACATTTGCTTTTAATAGGTTTCAGCCCTGATCAAAAGCCACAGTTCCTCTCTACCAAGAAGTCTTATTTCATGACCACAACACCTGATATCTTGTTTAAAGCATTTGTGTTACTGGGTTTGGCCTGGTTTTTCTAAGCAGGCTATAACATAACACATAAGACAATTTTTATATAAAGCTAAATTAAGATGTTCCATGTGCTTTTTTTCAAGTTCAGGTTTAATGGCAGAATGATATCTGCAAAGGTACTCCCTGTGCTATATTTACGTTCTTAGGAAATGATCTTAGGAAACTCGATCTTCCAGAACAAGAAGGACCATTAAATCTAGGAACAGTCAACATGATGTTATTTTAATTATAGACAGCATCTCAGGGCTTGGACCATTTACGTGCTCTACGGGCTTTCACGATGGTTTCCCAGTGCGACTGGTGTAAGATTCTGTCCGTGCACCGCTCACTTATGCGGAGTGTGATGTTCAGTCCATTGAAGAAGGCACCAGTACGTAACAACTCAGCCGTAGGTGCCCAGGCTGCCAGTCAGCGTCCTTGTGCGCAGGCCGTTCCAAAACCAAGTGCTCTCGGCAAACTCCCTCTTCGTGGGCCAGGCCTGGGGGCTCCTCTGAGTGCTCCTTCTGAATTCATTGTTTTGGGAGATATGTCTGTGAGACGCAAAGAAGATGGAAGCGGAGATAGCTTGCAGTGAGATGAAGGGTGAAAGCACCAAACAAGCCACATTACCATTACATTCTAGTATTTTTTCTTCCCACCCCAATGGTTTAATCCGATATGAGCAGATGACTGGATCATCTGCTTTCAGGTTGCAATAAAATCTCTCCCTGATTCTGAATTAGCCATCTAAGTAAACATCATCTTAAATTTGGCAAGAAATTTTTGAGTATTTCCAAGTGACAGTGGTTTGGATTTCAATTTTTACCCTCGCACGTTTAGGAAAAGTCCTTGCTCAACTACTGGTGCCCTATTTGCGAGGATTTCCCAACATACCATTCAGGTTACTCGAGGTGACTGCTTTTCTTTCATGACTTCGCCACAGGAGTCTTACTTTTTTAATAGCAGTCCACTTTGTGCTGCAAGTGCCTTGGGGGGGATGTATTTGTTTAGCTTTCAAGCGTTCAGTTAGCACTTAAAGGTGAAAAGTTACTTTTAAAAAGTGAAAAATAACACTTCATAACCTGTTACTTTGCCTTTTTAACTTTTTCCCATTCTTTTACTAGGAGGAAATAATTAGGTAAAAAAAAAAAAGAAGAAATCATGAAGGAAACACGGGCCTTTTGCCGCTCTTTCTGCATGGAAAAAAGAGTTCCACTGAAAATATATTAAGAAAGCTTTTTCTTTTTTCCTGAAACATTTCAGCAAGAATTATAAACAAATTAGTGACAAAATAAACAGGTATATTTTCCTGTAGACTTCCTGTCCATAAACTTGTTGTTTTGATAATTAGACTTGATACATGATTTCTTTCTGTCTGGTTCTACAGAGAACTCAGTATGTCACTCCAGCAGAGTAAGGGAGAACTGATTTGTAGACAGGCTGTAAGACTGAGGGATGTTTGGACACGTGGATTTTCAACATTTACCTTTTGTTGCCTTAGGAGTGCATTTTGCTTTTTCAATGAATTCAGCAAGTCGCTTTTTAAAGTTCTCAGTTGCATTCACAGCCTGGAGGGTACTAGCATTTTCAAGGCTGACAAACATAAACTTGGATTCACACCTGCCTAAGTAAAAATAATAATAATACTTCTTTTTCACTCATCAGCCCGAGTAATTTGTCATTTAATATCAATGCTGCTAGGTGATAACTGTCTTTCTCACAAAGAGTTTCAGTTATTGTTGTACCAAATGCAGTATGAACTCAATACTGATGACTAATGGAATGACATTTTCATTAAGCCTGGAGAAGTTGAATCTCTTTCTATTTGGTAAGCTCAGGAATTCTTTTCTCTGTTGGTGAAAAATATTCTGAGTCTTCTGAGGATCAGCCGTCTGCTGTCTTGGTGCATTTGAGCCCTATCCTTCACAGAAGAAAATTGGAGCTTTTTCGATGGGAAAATGTCCATTTACCTTTTAAAAAACATAGCTAAATACACGGCATTAAAACAACCGGCTCTGCGTCTAAATTCATAAATGGACGTGAGCGGCTTCGGTGAGATGTTGTACTGTACTGTTGAAACTCTGTTGGCTTTGTCTGGCTTCAGCTGCTAGCCATTGGTTTTGGCTAGGTCCTTCCCTGCTAAATTAATGAGCTTGGTAATATCCGGTATTTTTTCCACATGAAGATATTTATAACTCCGTCACCTCTTCATCTTTTTGATAAGTGATTCCAACCATACCCATGTACCAGGCTTTGAAGTACATCTTCGAGGCATATGCTTCCTAGTTTGGCAGTGCAGTGAAATATTCTTGACCACTGCTAACTTGTCAGTGGGTTTTATATGGAGGAAGGAAGCGTGGAGGCTATCAGGGTCCTTCAGCGCTCATCCAGTACTCACTAGGGTCGTCTAATTAACAATGAGTTCCTGTGCTGTTTCATATGCTTATACGGGTCCACCTACCTCCCTCAGTCCAGATGTTTTTACAGTCTTAAAAGGTAGTAGAATATAATATTTACAAGATGTGGAATAAAAGGCTAATCCCGATATATATAAAATAATATCTGCCCATTGTAATGGTAAATGACTCTTTCTCGTATCATGGTGTTACAGTCTTGTCTCCAGTTGTATCCTCCATCCGTTTTCCTCCCTGTCAAAAACCTGAATGAAGGAGTGTTTACAGTACGTTTAGAAAGTTGGGTTCTAGCAGACAAGGATGCTTTTACTCAGAAGATGCTGCCAGCAGGGTCTCCCTTGCTGCAAGCCAGGTTCCTTAGGTCAGGCTTATCCCCTGCCCAAGCACCTCAGTGAGGACAACGGTGACCTGACAAGATACCTATGTATGGTTACTCTGGAACACGGAATAATGTGCTTTTTTCCCTTTCACAGGCAGTAGGCTTTTTTTTTTTTTTTCCCTCTGCAGTCATGTGATTTGCTATCATGGACTTACATTTCTGCCACAAAAAGAGTTCGTTTTACTGTCTTTTTTTCACAGCTCTCGTTAATATCTCATTGCATTTTATTACATGAAGCATTTAAAATTAGGAATAACCTTGGTTTTCTCCAGCTCCTTTCAGTGGGGGTTGTTTTTATTCTGTTTGTATTTATAAGAAATGGCTAAAATCTTCCTTTTCAGGGCAAATTGCATCATATTTGACCGTTTTCATTGGTGTCAGGTAGTATGAATGAGGAAAGGTACGAACAACATACAAAACAATGAGACAACATCCGATGAAGAATGAGAAATGAAAAAAGAAAAAAAAAGATTAAGGTGTTTATTGCATTGTAAGATGTGAAATATCTGACTCTGACAGTAACGCTGGCTGACGTGTGCCCACATAACAGGTATGCAGTGCAGAGTCGGTGTGAACGTCAGACCATCCAAGTTTGAGCATATTCTGTTTCTGACTGTTCTTTAAAGAATTTGTGGAAGTGCTTAAAGAAGCCTTAAATCTGACTTAGCGTATACCCAATTATTGATATATCTGCCCTAAATTAGTTGGAATAAATGGTCGTCTGATTGTAAAAAGAAGTTATAAATGACTTGAGTAGGAGAAATATCTCTGTGGATAAGCCAAATTCCTTCAGTTTGTTAGCATAGCCTGTTATTTTGTTGGAAAGTGCTGTCACTGCAACAGCAAATTCTCGTCTGCTGGAAACTGTTTAGTTTTTGTGGCATCTGGCAGCATCTTCAATATGAGTCTTCAATTGTATTTGATGGAAATATAACCGAGTTCCATCTGTTTAACACGTGCTTTCTACCGAAAGTGGGGCACACATGCAAGTTTATTTCCGATGTTCATAAATAAGATACCAGCGAAACCCACATATCAAGCCAGACTCTTCTGGAATGGATTTTAACATCTTAACCATAGGAAGCAATTGAGCCCCCTCCTTACCCCACTTTATTTTTTCTCGCCAACCCGCCCACATGCTCCTTGTGGTGCATTAGGTTTTGGAGCTCCTTTTTAAAGCCTTCTTTAATTTTCCTGAAAAACCAAATGAAAATGGATCATCGTGACTTTAAAGAAAATAGGAAAATTGCTAACGATACTGCAGCTGTCCATTTCTGTTAACGGTACACATGGGAGTATTGAAAATGGTCTGCCGAAGAAATGTAGACTTTTAGCCCACAAAAATACGGAAAGCAGAGGTAAAAGGCTTGGAGCAGCAGCAGAGTTAACTAGAGCGCTGGCAGATTTTGCCCCATCGAGGGAATATGGCTTGAACATGCAGCAGTGGCTTCGGAGAAACGTGGCCTCCAAGATCTCCTGGTGTGCTCCTGCCGATCTCCGTTCCCGCGGGGAGCATGCCGACTGCCTCGCTGCGGCTCTGCGCTGGAGAATTGCATTCCCCACCCACCCACAGGTTTGCTGGGTCCTCTGCTCACCTCGGACTGCCTGCTCCGTAGAAAGCCACCCAGTCTTGAGCGAAATCTGACCGTGTCTGGAACATGAAGGATCTGTAGCGTACGTTTTAAGTAAAGGCTCCCAAGTGTTAAAAAAGCATAGAGTAAGTGGTTCACAGCAGTTCTACAAAAATGTTAGCACCCCATACAGCCATCATCACTGAAGCTTAAATAAATACTGACTTATTGCCTCAGATCACCTCCTTTTTTATTCAGCACCTTTCTTTGTTGGGCCTGGAATGGCCTCTCTAATCAAGTTGGCCAGGTAGGCAGAAGGCAGAACTCAAGAATGTAACTGATATAGAAATAACAGGCATTAACTTCCACGAAGGTTTTCTGTTGTTTTCAGTAGTTGATTGGCTGTCTTAGTTATCGTGTAATAATAATAATTGTAGGAAATGCTTCTGATGTGAAGCCAGCGGAGAAGCTTGTTTTTTACAAACTAAAATGGTCCTGCTCCCAGTTTGTGACAAACAAAGTGCTGCTTCACCTGCAAGCTCCTCGCTGTCAAAGGGATGCTCAGAACTTCCCAAGGCTCCAGCAGTTTTTGCATAATTCACACGTGGTAAAGAAATGGTAATTTTTTCTTATCCTACCAATATTTGGATTGCTCTGTGAAGCAAATAGGCAGTATTTTGCCCAATGTTTTGAAGTTGGGTAGAGTCCCCTAATATATCAAGTTCCCACCACCACGTCTGCTAACAGAGGTATCCCTGCCTGGATTCTGGATTTGAGCTGCTGCTCCAGACAGGTTTAAGTTTCTGGGAGGTTTGTGTCATATCTCACAGCCTCATGTCTCTTAAACGCTCCAGGATATCTAAAATGGCACTGTATGCCTGCATTTAGGTATAATCAAATTTCAAACTGTGAAACAATAAGACAGTCTAGCGCAGCAAGGCAGGCCAAGACCGTGGATTCTGCCAGAGCCTTTGTGGTTATGAAAAGTCTCATGTGCGAAGTATTCACATGTTGCAGTGATGAATATCAGGGTAAGTATAGAAACACCTAGGTGAAAGATGGGTAGTTTGTACTTCCAGGTAAGAACAGAGGTGGTGTTAAACCCAGAATACACACTTTGAAAACATTTGTTTTCTTCTGTGACATAGTTCTCATCGTAAAATAATTTCTAAACCTTGGTTTTGATTTGTGGTGCTTTAGCAAGTGTAACCCTTTATTTAGTAAAAT